AATGTTCCCTCTAAGCTGTGGAGCCTTGTGAGCAAAAATTCTACTTTCTGAGCTCCTGGCATTAAGATTGTGAGCAAGCGATTTGGCTACTGCATAAGTTAGTTTGCTCTGCAGCCATCCTTCCTGAGCTAAGACAAAAATGGGTGAGCCGGAGGCTAAAGAGCTGTGAGCTGGCTCACACGAACTCGGCTTGGAGGGAGCACTGCTTGCGAGCAAAAATCCCACTTTTCTGAGCTCCTGGCATCAGACTTGTGAGTCTAGAGATTTGGCTGCTGCATCAGTTGGTTTCCCCTTCTGGAGCCCTCCTTCCTGAGCCCAGGCCCCAAAAATGGGTGAGCCGGAGGCTAAAGAGCTGTGAGCTGGCTCACACTCACTCGGCTTGGAGGGAGCACTGGAGGGGACCCGCCTGGGCTGCTGGGGCGGCTGGCTGGAGAGAAAACAGGGGGGGTGCAAAGGAGGCGCACAAGAGCCCACCCCGCTGCCGCCGCTGCCACCGGTCCTGCTTCCTCTGAGAGGCCGGCCGCAGGTGTGGACAGACGGATATATCGGCTAAGGGGGCCTGAAGCGGCCGAGACAGAGAGGGGAGGAGACCTTGAGGGCCCCCCCCCCAGGCACAGGCAGGGCAGGGTGGCCAGACCCCGAGTGGGGGACTCCTGGCGCTTGGAGGGTGGGGCCTGGGGAGGGCAGGGGCCACAGCAGCAGTGGGGGTCCGGTGCCACAGAGGCCACCCTCCAAAGCAGCCGCTTCTCTGGGGGAGCTGGTCTCTTGTCTTCTGGAGACGGCCTGGAACTCTGGGACAGGGAGGCAGGTGATGGGAAACCCTCTCTGCTCGTCTCTGGCCTTGAAGACCCTGCAGGGTGGCCATGGGGATCGGCTGTCTCTCAGTAGCCCTCCCTAGCACACAGATCCCTGGTGCGGCCTCATTTGAAATATTGTGTGCGGTTCTGGTCACCGTCCCTCACAAAGGACATTGCATATTTTTATTAGGGCCCCTCTAATTGCATGCTTATGAAAGTTTGAGTGAATTTTATCTTTATCATACCATATATAGGCGTGCCAGCCCATATATAAGTCATGGCCCTCTAAATATAGCAGTCTTTTATCTTCTAACATTATCCAGTCTCTGATCCACCCCATAGCTGAGGCT